CTTTCCTTTATTTAAAATTTACTTGGAGATAGAAGATCCATTAATCCTTTGAGCAATTTAAATAAAAAAAATTCAAATCTATAAAAGTGACCAAAGGCTTTCAAATATTTTTTTGTGATAGAACTTTTTATGTATAAAAGTTAATTTACCTGTGGGGATTTAAGGAATAAACAAGGAGGGATTTGTTTACTTTAATCATTTCTACCTCTTCTCTGAAATAAAATTCAAATGCTTTGAATTTATGTGTTGCCATGTGATTACAAACATCAAAGCATCCAATCTTCTTCATGTCAGAAGTTTTCTTTTCTTGTTTGCATTTGTTAGACCAAAGGATACGTTTAAATAGAAGAATTTCCTCCATTGTAAGGTTTGATGATGTATTCATATTCATCTGCAAAATCTGACTCCATAAAATATCCAATCTTGACTAAAAAATAAATCCATGTATTTCTTCTTTAAAAAATGAAAACAGGATTTAAAAAAGGTTTTGGAAAAATGCTGCGCAGTAAAAATAATATTAAACGATTTTTCTAGGTAATAATGTCTTTCTATAATGAACCAATCAAAACTTGTGTTACCTGATCTATGCTGAATAGCAATCAATCGTCTCCATATTGGCCCGGCAAATAGATTTAATGAAGCCACGATTCATAACAAGTTAATTGCTTTAGCTTTACAACCTCTTCGGATCTTTTATTCCTGCAATAGTAACACAAGTTATTGTGACAGAATGACAGATATTTCTAACAGTCGTCCCAAAAGTATTCGGACTTAATTTATAGTTAATTTTTGTAAAAAGATGATGCATTGAGAGCGGGGTTTCCATCAACAGCATCATACTATTACCTATTAACGCAGACCCAAGGGACAATCTCCACAAATTGGTTATCAATTTTATTTGAAACTATCGAAAAGTCAACGGAGGCCTCGACATCAACAGCGTTTCAATTAGTTAGCTAATTGAATGTGAATAATATAATGATATTTGTTCGAGATTCAGATCAAATAAGGTTCCCACGATTTTTATGACAGTGCACCTTTGATTTTAGATTAGGGAGTATGTTCACATTACACAAGAGACGTCTATTAAAATTGTCATGGATGAGAAAGAAAGACTCAAATGACCGGCATTATGCTCTTTAGAAATTTTATATTTCTTTACCAGCACTACGTGCATTTTTTTTTCAAGATGAAAATATGAACCCGGACCTAGGATTGTCTGTTACGACGAACAGACAAAAACAGTTTCAAAATTAAATGTACCATAGATATAGCATCATGTAATTTTATCAGATTCCTGTGTAAAAATTACTCAATGATTTGAGATTGATGTTGCCGTAACGTCTTAATTGCCTTGTGTGGTAAATATTCACGTTTTTGATAATACATGTATTACTAAGTATGTACATGTTTATTACATTGTAATACTTTGGCATCACATGCTTACAACTTATCATTGATTGTGATACTTTTCTATTACCGGTATATATATCTTCACTATGTGTTGGTGCTTCGTTATGCTGATAGTTTGTCTGAATATCCTGATATTTTCTTATAGAATGATGTCTTGACATTATCACTAATTTTGCATGATGACTCTGTGTCAGTATTTGGGTTATACTGATAATTGTTTTTCATTGTATAATGATACTCCATCATGTGTTGATCAATTTAAATTTTCATGAAATCTGTCATATTTTTGTAAAATGAAAAAATTTCCAGAAAGCAAGAAAAGGACTAATTAAAATTTCAATAGGTGTGGAAAACATGTTGCATCTATTTGTGAAACTGTAACTGCAATACGTCGAAAAATAATTTGAAAGGGTAAGAAAACTGTTTGGAGGGTGTCTATGAATTTTAAGGTGATGATACTCAGTAATATGAAATGTTGAAATCGATGGTACCCCGAATTTTAAATTCATTTTAAAAAATATCGAATCTTTTTTTTTTTTCAAAATCGTCTTGATTTATCTTTGGAAACTCAATTTTACTAAGTTAATTTTAAGAGTGTCCTTCTGCAATACATAGTTAGGTGCAACATATATTAACAAGGAAAACATGAGTAACTTAAGTTATTTAATTAGTAACATTTTAAGGCGAAAGTCAGATTAACCTGGTCCTATTGTACCCTGAATTTTATTTGGTTGAGATCCAGCTTACCCGAAACAATCAATTCTAGTGACGTAATCTCAGTTCAGTTTAAATACAAAAGGCTTCAAATAAGTCAACAAACAGCTTAACAAACAATATCCGGGTTTTCCCTTAAGAAGTGTTCATAAACATGTTGCAAATGCAGTTTTTCTTATACATGCAGCATGTTTCCACATATTTTGAAATGAGCCCCGAGAAGTTTAGTTTTGATTTTCATATCACATAAAAGTATCAGTATATTGAATCAAAGAATCACAGTTTTAATATTGAAATTTCATTACAAAGTCAAAGTACCATCACAAAGGTCCGTATGGACGCGGTGCCCCCAACTCATTTCGCAAATAATTACAAATGAAAGCATTATTCCCGGATGTACCCCTCAGAATCGAAATAAAAGACACCTTTGTTTTTGCTTATCAAGGTAAAATTCCATTTGGTCTGTACCCACAGGTTTTTCATATGTACATTTATAGTGAAAAAAATATAGTCATACAATGACGAAAATGTAACATATCAAGATAAAATATATCTAATTAAAAAATCAGCTACAGAATATTACGAAAAAGTTTAAAAATGTAATGAAATCGTGCGTTTTTCAGAACTCGATAACACATTTTCATCCGGAGTATCTTTAAATAAAAATACAAAACATTTCCAATCGATGAAGAAGTCACAACATGCATGACATAAAGACAAAGAGTTTCAATTTTGAATGTAGAAGTATCATCACACAGAAATTTTCCATACAAGTCATGTAATATGTTCTATATCCATCAGTTCAATTCAATTTTATCTTTCTTGCAACACGACTTGTATTCAATGAATACAATTTCTACAATTTCTATTGAATTATGATGGGTATATCAAGATCGGGAAGAGGGATTTTAGCCATGGGAAGTCTTTTGTTAAAAAAAGTGAAAAAATCTACACATTACCTTGCACGAGTGATTTAAGACTACGTAAAGACATTTCTTTACAAAAAAAAAAAAATTAAAACCAATAAATGCTATTATACCAGTCTCACAGAGAAGGTAACAACTTGTTTGCATGTATTTTTTTTTAAATTGTCATAAACCTTTATGTCATAGACCTGGATTACAATTTGTATGTAAGTTTGGTTTGGAATAAACGTTTAAAATTCCTATCTAAATGGTGTTTATAATAATAGCATAAATCAATTAAAGGTATATATATGTAGAAAATAAAAGAAGAGTTGAAAAGTAGGGAAAATATGCCAAGGTTATGGTAAACAAACACATGTATATATCTTAGCAGAACTTTAAAAGCAAACATTTAAACATCTCATTTTAAGACATATAAAGTAAACTACACCGCTATCATTCCGGATGTTTAGAAAGCTATCGTAAGAATGTAATTGGTCATCAATATTTGGATTTGGCATTGCAGGGGAGCAGATATGAAGAGGGAAACTTGGTCAGATGTATCGCTTATCAGACCCGGGGCATGAAGTGTCATTCGTCGTCAAAAATAAGAAACGGGATCCTAATAATATGATACAAAATGCCCAGTGGATGATATCTTTGAAGTCTCCTTTTCTGTTAATTAAACTGGAATATCTTTTGATTAGGATCGTAAATGAGCCAAATTGCAGGTATTTGGTAATTGGTTGGTAATGGAAGAATACGTCGTAGACTTTCTGATCTTTGTTGTTTTCTTTTTCATCACACGAAATAAGACAATATTATTTAAAATAACAAGCTTAGAATATTTCTTTAATTTAAATTTAAATATGCAGTAATTGAATAATACTATTTTTAATTATTTGTTAGTTCCTTATTATATAAAGAACTGCGCGAAGAAAATAGAAACTTAAATTCTCTATGTAGGTAGCCTCAAGCTTCATTCTGGAGGAGATGCTTTCTTTTTTTAATTCGTGTAATTGTTCATCTGTTTGTTCACATTAAAATGTTTCCTTTAGTGGGCTAACGAATAAAACTACTATTTTATGGAACCTTGTACAGATAGATAAATAGCATTGTATTGTATATAGGGCCCAGTTATTTTTAATGTGAACAATAAGTCCATGAATAAATTCAAAGTAAAATTTGATTGCAAAAACACCAAGATAAAAAATTAATGGTTGGATTTCTGACATTTATTGATTTATGAAAAAGTGATATCACCTATTCGAATAAATTATATTACTTTATTTAATTTGAAAAGGTGACATCACTTATTGGAATAAGTGATATCAACTATTCAAAAGGAATGGGTGATATCACCAATTCGAATAAGTAATATTACTTTTTCGAAAAAAGGTGATAATTCTTACTCGAAATCTGAATAGGTGATATCCCCAACTGAATAGGTGATATAACCTTTTTGAATAGGTTATACCACATTTTGGCAGTAAAAATCAAAACGGCACCTCATGCATATACATACTATACTGGTTTTATAACGTGTACTGTAACTTCATGGTGCAGATATAAACAAATACATACGATTACAAAACAAGCTGCTCTTTTGTAAGTCGCAACTGAGATATTTTTACACACTTACTCATTGTAAAGCACAGGTGGAATAAAAACACGTGTAGTCATTGATTTAGGCTATTCTCCTTATGTGTAGTTAAACAGATACCCTAATTCATACAAAATGTCAAACTCTCAGTATAAATTGGCAGGTTTAAATGTAAGGTTCCCATTATCTGAAGTAAAACGTAATGTTGCTTATCTTAAGCAAACAAACCTGAAATACATTTTTTTAAAAATAATCGCTAGGGGCTTATAAAATTTAAAATAATGTATGATTTGAAATGGAAAACCGTTATATTCGCACACCCTTGTTTCTTTTTACCAGTATTTTTTTTTTTGAAATACAAAATGAGAACAATCATGGAATATGTTTACTTTACAGTCTACTGAAAATGCCTTTTAATGTGATCACAGTATATGTTTGTTGAATTTTTTTCGCACGTATACTCAATAGAGTCCTCTTTTTGAACGAGTCGGATGACTGAAATCATGTACACCAGACTGTCATACCTATTGGTTATGCTGTTTTCATTCAGTTCAATCTGCAGTAAGTTTCCAAATATTTTCTTTCTCAGTTATGCAACTTGTTATCATTTGATTCTTAAGGCATTTCTTTAAGTTTGTAAATGCTTCTCATTGAATGTTTTATTCATCTTTTGATAGAAACGTTAGTGTACATGTAGTTATATTTAAAGGAAATTCTCTCCATCTCCTTGTTACATGTATGTCCTGAATTATTCTAATATGACCAATGTACCACAGATCTTTACATGAAGTGGTTCTAAATACAAGTTTAACTTTCACAATTTGTCCCTCTAAAAAAGTTGTTTCCTTTAAGAATTCTCACAAGTAGAGAACATCCTATCGACAAAAGACAAATGAAGTATTGCAGGCAGCAGCAAGGACAAAAATAATAATATGTGGATGCACTTAAGTATTATTTCACTACTGAATTTGATTATAATACTTCTTTATTTTTAAATTTTATTTACAGAAGCCTATTATTATTCATATAATATTGAAGGAAATACTTTGATTAGTGACGACACCTATACATCAGTTAATGTCCCCGGTGGAATTCCATTTGGAGACCATACCTACTCTACAGTATACGTAAGTGTTAGCATAGAACTGCAATTTGCAAATATCTATTAATTTTTATAATTTTGAGATGTTTGAAATATGAAATGTTGTAGTTTAGCACTAATGGACTTCTTACATTTCGAAATGGAGACTCATCCTACACACCTCCACGGTCGTCGACTGACCCACACATAGCACCATACTGGACAGATTTGTATCCTCTGGGTAGCAATGGAGGATACGTGTTCTATTGTACCTATAATGACGTTACAACACTTACAAAGGCCACATCCGATGTCCGACAGTTTGGTGGAACATCTTTGTCTTCCTTCCAGGCGAAATGGGTTTTGGTAGTGACGTGGAGTAAAACGCCTTTTTATCCCAGGACCAATGGCCCTGTAAGTTAAAAATTAAGATAAAATGAACTTTTTTGACCTTTAAGACAAGTTTTAAATAAACATGTACCTGTGTGTTTGTTCAATGTAATATGTTAATCATATATATATAATCAAGCGCAATGTTACTGAGAAAGAAGATCACATTCATAAACTAGTATACTGCATGTAAAATGATCTTTTGTCAATCCCCCACATCAAATATATTACACAAGTAAAATGCCAATAGGCAAATTTGTTGGAATTTTCTTGTTTTACAATACATTTATATATAAAGTTGTCTTCTTATGTTTTGCTCTCAGAACAATGTGTGCATGTGCTTTCGATAATAATGCCAGGATTGAAGAATTATTATGATTTTAAGAACTATATACTAAAGTGAGAGAGAGAGAGATAGAGAAACTAATCTTCCTGTTTGATTTTCATCTTGGCATTTAAATCTTTCTGCAACGTTTTATCAATTATCAATATTGATTTTCATTATCAAGTTTTTTATCCCAATAAACTCGAAAGAAAAGTCAAATCAGAGTCTGAAACAACTGTTTTATATTTAGATATTTTACTATAAAAAAAATATCTATGGCAATCTTAAACTTAATAACTTTTACTTTCCTAGCATCAATTTCCCTGAATTATGTTGTATTATATCATCATCACCTGCTTATGGAGTTTGTCTCCAAGATTTTTTTCTATATTATGAACAAACAAGTTCTCGAAATATAAGTTGATTATAAAAGGATATCAACAATCCCGCGTTTGATGTAAGCACTTTGTAAATTCTATGTTATCTTCGCGCCATTGTTTAACAAGAACAAATGTTTCTATACAACTATTTACACTGAATTGCCTAAAGATTTTTTTTTCCTTTTGCAAGAGGGAACACGGCGGGTATGATCGGTCATCAAGGGATACTTACTCCTACATGGCAGCTGGTCACACCTCATGTCTCTTTAGAGGTCCGTTTATGCTCAGTTCAAAATTTGTATTCTCATGCACTTATGAGCTTGCTGTTTGCTATCTTCTCATTTGATTTTGAACAGTTCTACTTGCAATGTACATCTATCTCAAAATGAAACAAAAATAATTTAATGAAATCATATCTCTTTGTATTTCATATTAATCATATTCATCTTCATTTACCTTAAAGAAACGTATTACTATTACAACATTAAAAATATGCTTGTTTGAAGTCGATGTCCCTTACTGAGGAAACTACCGGGTCTCCTTATCAGAATTTCCTGGCATTTAAAATATCAAAATCGTTAAAAAAAACCTGGAAAACGTCATTTATTTTGGTCTTGAAGAAGTCGTGCTTAATATTCATAATTTCTTTCACTCTTTCTTCATATTTAAAACGTTCATTTCATTCATCTTTATTTTACATTAGCACCTTTCCAAAATGTTTCTAAAAACGCATTACTATTATATTTTAGAACTATTGAATAGGGCATTCGTTCTGCATTAATTATGAATCGAGTCAAAACAATGTACTTTTGGTATGTATTGTGTATAAAAGGTGTACAATTAAGTTCCTATTCTACCGCGCTCTGAAAATCCTTCAAACCTGAGCATAATTTTATCGCCGAAATATGGCTGATATGTTGCCGACTCGGTGTTAAACATTATCAATCAATCGTGAAAATGTTTCGTGTTTGTTTCAGGGTTAAACATGATATATTGTAAATGGATTTTATAAAGAATATTTAATCTGAATGCAAATAAATGACTTTTAGATACTTAGTAAGCTTTTTGTTTTATTCAAATTTAGTGGGTTACTGTCCAGTGTGTTGTGATTACGGATCATGTCTCTACGTATACCATTTTTCACTACATCAATGTTAATATACTCAATCAAGGACACAAGATAAGAATAGGATTCTATAACGGTTCGCCTGTCAACAATCCTTATTCATTTACCAATGATGCATATATAATGGGCCAAATCAAGGGAAACACAGGTAATTTTATTGTAACATATTCCGGACCTATCTGAATTCTTCGTTTTTTCTTAAGAGACATATTAGAGCCTCGCGTTTACGTTCATCTGAATTTATTTCAGATAATTTATTTCTATACTTATGTGTTCTGCATCATAAATACAAATCTAAATCATAATTTATAATTTTCTTTCAAAGGGTTAAATGGTGTTTGGTTTTACACAGTAGCGGCAGGTACTAATCTTTTCTTCTTTTTTTTTTTAAAAAGGTTTATTTCAAGATTTGATTGAAACACTTAATACATACTCGTATATTGCAAAATGTGTTTTGGTACTTCGTCCTTAGATGGAAATGACTGTGCTTCGAATCCCTGTGTTAATGGCGGGTGTATCGACTTGTATGGAGATTTTAGATGTAACTGCCCAGCAGGATTCACAGGGAAAAGGTGTAATATAGGTATATTGTAATATAGGTATATGACACTGTGTGTACAGCAGGTAAATTTATAATTCACAAGGTGGAGGGTAAAATGCAAAATTCACAGCTTTGTGATTAGTTGTTATGTTGTAAATTATGCATTACCTCCACCTTTTAAATACAAAAATCAACATGATAAAATACATATTTCAGTTAAGACTAAGAGAATATTAAGGTAAGATTGGTAGAACTTAAGTTTGTTTTATGATTTATATATACGCATATGGTGATAGTATATTTATTACATTTTTTTAATGTTATTCAATGTTGATTAACTGTCTTTGCAAAGAATTTTGGCTTGATATACTAATAACGTTAAAACTGTAATTAAGGAAGAAAGCAGCATCTACATCCCTAATATATAAAGGTAATAAAGCAATTTTTGAATTTAACTGTTCTTTTAATTTCACTTTATTTTCATTTAATATATTAGATATAAATGAATGTCAGGCCTTTCCCTGTGATAAGGGGACGTGTCACAATACGGAGGGGAGTTACTACTGCTCTTGTCAAGTGGGATGGACGGGACAAAACTGTACGAACGGTAAGCCTCGGTCACCTTTACTGTGCAGCGCAATTTATTTTAGCCAGAAATTACAATTTACTTAAACGGTGGACAAAATTTTGACTTTAGTTATTGTTTTATTTTATTTCTTTGTTTCTTTGAAAAATAAATGAAAGATTGTTTTAATTATATATATATATATATATATATATATATATATATATATATATATATATATATATATATATATATATATATAATAAAATTTTGGGAGAGATCGTCTCGTGTAAGTAAGCAAAAACAAAGTACACATGGATATACTGTACCCAGTAGTTCATCTCGAAAGATAAAAAAAACGAAATAAAATTCAGTGAACAAGAAAACAAAAACAACCCAGAACCAAAGTTTCACTAACAAGCAAAGCTTGTCACCTAATCTATTTCAAGAAATATTTTCTTTACTTTTCCTTTAAAACTGATTGAGCAGACGCTAATGAGTGTACAACAACACCTTGCCTTAATGGCGGAAGATGTGTAAACAATGTAGGATCGTTTTCTTGCATCTGTACACCAGGCTGGACAGGACCAGTTTGTGAAGTAGGTGTGTACCTGTCACATCTTTTGTGGTGCAGACTAATTACTATCCTTTCTTTGAATCTAAAGAAATCAAAAGCTGTTTTTCATTGATAAAAGAGTCATATTCATTTAATGATCCCTTAATTATTTTTGCATATTTTTTACAAAAAACAGAACAGACATTTTGAGAAACGTGTTTTGAAAGAAAAAGAAATTTTTCAAAAGAAATCAGAAGTTGTTTATCACTGATTCAAGTATATCTCTTTTATTTGCTGATTCAGGAATTATTTTCTTGTACTTTTTTAATTACAGATGTTAATGAATGTAATACACAGCCCTGTTATAATGGACAGTGTCATAATACCGATGGAAGTTATAACTGTGAATGTAAAGGAGGGTGGATGGGAAAACATTGCAATATAGGTATTTGTATGAGAAATAAAGTTTTTTTTAATCAAATTATCTTTCTGCGACACTTTTTGAGATATTACAAGTATGTTTCCTTGGGATATAATCTCATGTTTAGACGAATACTTATCAATATTTGATTCACAATTATATATAAATGCCAACTGAAATATATAATGGAAATCAAACGATGATAAATAAGATTGAAGAAGGTGTAATTTTATGAAGAATGATATCTCTTTTTTTTCAAATAATTTGAAACAATAATATTGAATATAATTAGAAAAAACAGAAACTTTAATGATAAACAATAAGGTAACACTAGTAAATAAAATCTGAATCAAGCGTATTCAAATGAAAAATATATCTCATGTAAATTTGGAATAGATATTCATTCAAAATAAGGCAAAGATAATAATCTTAAACATCATAATGAATCCTTAACACTGAGATGTGAAGATAAATAAAACCCTTCTTGTTTTTCACAACGTACAATTAATGGAACATTCAACCTTGTCTTAAATGATTGTTTAATCAGCGTTTCCTGTTGTTTTTTTAATTAAAGTTAAACGTTGAGTAAAGAGTTCTTAGTGATTAATTTAATACAAAATTGATTTTTATAAAGGACAAATGGACACATAACATTAGAAGGGTAAAATTTTCAGTGTTAAACTGACGATTATTATTGATAAAATGGGGACACTTGTAAAGGTCTTTTTTAGATATTAAGACATACTTGAAGATCTAAGCGCACTTTAATTTGGTGCGTATCTACATATATTCATTTTTAATGTATATGATGTATTGAAGTAGATAATGTTGAACACACTTTCAATCAATAAAAGCTTGTATAAAGAGGCAAAGAATTTCCAGACAATGACATCATAACTGGACATTGTCTTTTTTTCTACCACAAAATTCAATTCTACTGCCACCCTATAAATTCAGGATTAACAACATGACAATCGAGTTGTGTAACTTTTCTGTCTTCGATATCACTTATCGTATTTGCCTCTTATATATGCCTCGTATATGTTAACATTACTTTTTTAATGATATTTATGTATATATTCAGATATAAATGAATGCTTAAAGTATGCCGGTATCTGTAATCATGGAAAATGTGAAAATACACATGGTTCTTTCTACTGCAATTGTACTCATGGATGGAGCGGCCCTAATTGCACTCAAGGTATAAACCTTTTTTAAATGGATAATTCCAGCAGTCTGTAATTTTAATCATTGCAATTCATTTTTGTTTTCTTTGTTTTAAACATTTTTTATTTAAAAAAAAAGACATTGATGAGTGTGCAACATCATCGCCATGTTGCAATGGAGGAAGTTGCGTGAACAACCCAGGGTCGTTTTCCTGCAACTGTACACCTGAGTGGACCGGGTCAATCTGTGAAAAAGGTTTGTAATGTTGCTTTATTCAACCATTTTGATAGATATTAATCAAAATGCTGTTAACTATTTTTCAATTTTTTACTTCCACTTTTTACTACAGATGTTGATGAATGTGACGGCATAACTTGTAACAATGATGGAGTTTGCTACAATATCCCTGGAAATTATTTTTGCCAATGTCGTCAAGGTTTTACAGGAAATCATTGTAATACAGGTAGCTAATCACCTATAAGAGCTTACACACAATCAAATGAATTTATATGATATTGCAAATCAATTCATTTTTTCAGACATAGATGAATGTAGGACATCTACTAGCAGCTGCCATAATGGGGGTGTCTGTGTAAATAATCAAGGTTTTTCAACGTGTAAATGTGACAGCAGAAAAGGGTACATCGGGCAATATTGTGAAGAAGGTAATATTTGTCAGAAATTTATATATTTAATAGAGATTGACCTCACTTTCAAAATTGAATTTTATTCCAATGTTATAATATTAAATAGATGTCCAAGAATGTGATCTTGACATAACACCCTGTCTTAGTAACGGGACATGCATTAATACCCGTGGCTCCTTCAACTGTGCGTGTGAACATCAGTGGAAAGGAGAATTTTGTCAGAATGGTAAGTTCACTGTCTATTCACTACGTTTAAAATTTTCATTAACAATAATTTTTAACTTGATTTGATAGACCTTCCTTTCTAAGTTTTTAATATTCTAAATTTAGAAAGAAATGCATGCAGTGAAACACCTTGTAAAAACGGAGGGATCTGTGAATTGGTGAATGATACATTCGTCTGCAATTGCCCTCGGGGTTTTCAAGGGGATATGTGTGAAACAGGTACTTAAAAATGGCAAATTTATTGAACTTTCTGCAATTTTTGAATTATTGACATTTTTTATTTTTCATTTTCAGCCCTCCCTGCTTGTTCCTATGATCCGTGCAAAAACAAAGGTACTTGTCATGAGACGAATGGCAGTGTAACCTGTGATTGTTCCCCTGGATTTACAGGACAGTACTGTACAAATGGTAAAATTACGGTCTATAATGCAATTTTTTATGCAATGAAAAGATTACGTTTAAAACAAGAAGAAGATTTTAGTAAAAGTAATCAATGTGAATTTCTTGCATGCAAATATTTAAAGGAAAAATATTAATGCGAGATTTTTAAAGATAAATGCTATTAATACAAGTTAATACAACAAGCGATATGTTTAATGAATTTTCAAATTTTAATATGATTAAACACATTTTGTATAATCTGCAGATATTAACGAGTGTTTGCCTTCTCCCTGTATGAACAATGGTCTATGTGTCAACACAGCTGGAAGTTTTATTTGTGTCTGCCAGTCAGGATACACAGGCAAACTCTGTGATTTGGGTAAGAATTGAATGCAACCAGTTGAAGGATTTATATTGCTCTATGATATATTTGGTTTAGTTGGTATCTAATTATGATATTTAGAGACACAGTTTTGAATTGAGATTTAGCTTATTGTAAGATATTGTTCATTCCATACAGTCATGTTTTATATAACAATTTCATTTTGCCAGTAAATTAAAAACTTTCATCAAACTGATTTAAATATCAAACGGAGAAGAATGTATTTAGAAATAAACGTACAAAATTAATGCAGACATGTCTTCAAACATTTTCAAATGACTATGATTAGATTCTTTGAGCAAATTTCTAAAAACATTAATTTTTTATGAAAGGACCTTGTGATGCTGTAAACTGTCAAAATAATGGTACATGTGTTGTTCACGGATCCTCATCAGTTTGTCCGTGTTCACCTGGTTTTACAGGAATTAACTGTGACGAAGGTAAATATACAACTGTTGTGTTTTGCATTTTGATCAAGTTGAGCTTTTTTCGGTAGATCATAACGATTTTTCTGTTCTTGATTTGCTTACACTTTTCATATCGAGAAGTTCAAATTCTACATCTATTGAAAAAAGCTCTATAATTTTTTTTCTCGGTTACACCGGAATTATGAAAAGTCATTATATAATTAACATGGAAAGTAGTCATACAGATCGTAGTTCAAAATGAAACCTCCTTTTCAACGTGAGTGCAATCCTTTTTTCCAGAAATTACTGAATGTGATTTGGGACCATGTGCAGAAAATTACACATGCAACAATACATTTGGTGGTTTTGAGTGTATACATGTACACTGCAATGATTCTTTTGAAAACTGTACAAATGGTAATTACTGTGAAAAAATTTTATACAGATGAATTAGTCAAATTAAAATTCAAAAGGTTAACTTATGACATTCCTTTCAAATAAATTTTATATTCTTTTCCTAGATATTAATGAATGTGATTTGGATCCATGTGCAGAAAATTACACATGCAACAATACATTTGGTGGTTTTGAGTGTATACATGTACACTGCAATGATTCTTTTAAAAACTGTACAAATGGTAATTACTGTGAAAAATTTTTATACAGATAAATTAGTCAAATTAAAATTCAAAAGGTTAACTTATGACCTTCTTTCAAGTAAATTTTATATTCCTTTCCTAGATATCAATGAATGTGATTTGGATCCATGTGCAGAAAATTACACATGCAACAATACATTTGGTGGTTTTGAGTGTATACATGTACACTGCAATGATTCTTTTAAAAACTGTACAAATGGTAATTACTGTGAAAAATTTTTATACAGATGAATTAGTCAAATTAAAATTCAAAAGGTTAACTTATGACCTTTCTTTAAAGTAAATTTTATATTCCTTTCCTAGATATTAATGAATGTGATTTGGATCCATGTGCAGAAAATAACACATGCAACAATACACTTCGTGGTTTTGAATGTAAACATTGCAACACTTCTCTCGAAAACTGCACAACTGGTGAGAAACATTTGGCTTGGTATTTTAATGATGTTCTTGAGGAGAAAATTTAGACGTCATCTGAATTGTTGCCTCCTACTCTATTCGTCAACTATATATGTTTAAAATGGCTGAAAAAAGATTTTTCATCAAATTAATCATCCCCTTCCAAGGGGTGTATTGAAGCAGAAGACTGTTTTTATTTTACATAAAACAGTTTAACCAGAATTTATAATTTATTTCATAGCAGTAAGATGACTGAATATCAAAAATATTTTAAAAAATTTAAAAAGGCATTTTTTGTATCATTCAATTTTTTTTTAATTTTTGCTCAGTTGGAATTGATGCTTGCAACAATTATTGTCAAAACGGTGGTCTGTGTTTGGGAAACAACGGCAAAAATAACTCCTCCATTTGCCTCTGTAGACAAGGGTGGACGGGGAGTAACTGTGATACAGGTATTCATGAGAGATAATGAAATTATTCAAATAACGTCGATTACATTTAAAGGTACTTGGACACAGATTTGAAAGTTATTATTTTCCGATAATATAACGACATATATTTTGATACACAAATCTGTGTTCAAGTACCTTTAACACTATAAACGTTTCCAATCCTATAACACCCCATACCCCCCCCCCCCCCTTTCCCCTTTCCAAAGATGCAGAGATTTACCGTAATTTGTTCTGTTTTTTTTTTTGCTCAAAGCAATTGACTTCTGTGAGAACACTTCTTGTCAAAACAACGGATCTTGTCAATCTGCTCCTGGCAACTTCACTTGTAATTGTTCATCTGGATTCAATGGAGAATATTGTGAAACAGGTAGTTAAACGATTTGATCATTTGAATAAGTTATGAATTTAAGATTATTTGTAAAGATATGTTGACCCTTTTACTGTTGTAGATATTGATGAATGTATATACGAACCGTGTTTCAACAATGGGAACTGCACAAATCTTAATGGAAGCTACGTTTGTTCCTGTACAGATGAGTTCCGAGGTTCACAATGTCAACTAGGTAAACCTTCATTTACTGACTACAATAAAAATCATATGCGAAAACATTTAAAGTATTCTTGGTTTAAAAATAACGATTTAATTCATGTAAAAAGAAAAGATAATATGAACATAGTTTACATCATTAATAAGTGACAATGTTTCTTGTCTGTTTAGAAGTCGATCAGTGTATTTCATCCCCATGCAAAAGTAATGCAACATGCCGACCGGAATATGGATCCTTTTCTTGCATTTGTAATTATGGTTGGACTGGGAACATGTGCCAACAAGGTTTTAAAACAAACATACTTAATTCATTTTACCAAAGTGCTAAACTTTTGAAATTCTCTTCCAGATAAATTTATACATTTTTGTGAGTCTTTTCACAGATGTTAATGAATGCCTGGCAAATCCTTGCTATGGCAACAGCAACTGTGAAAATATTGCCGGCTCGTACGTTTGTTACTGTCCATCAGAGAGAACAGGGAGCAACTGTGAACTAGGTTGTATTCTTAAGTTTCCTTTTCAATAACAGAATTTCAATGTTGTTTCAAACCTTGAAATTTTTTTCTTTTTCTAAGTATTTCTTTATCACATTTTCTCAACGAGATAGAGAGTTTTTAGTCCTTGAGTGTGCTATATCACAAAGTTGCAAAAAGAAAATCGTTCTTTAAAGTATTTTATTTTTGTTTTGCATCTTTCATCAGATTATAATGAGTGCCTGTCAAACCCTTGCCATCATGGAGTCTGTATGAATCTTTATGGTGGATTTACTTGTGTTTGTGAGACTGGATTTAATGGGACTATTTGCAATGAAGGTAAATGTTTACATGTATAATATATGAATGGAATCATGGGAAAAAAAATAAATATAGAATATAAAAAACTGCTATGTTTTGAGATATTATGGTTGCATGGCCTTTTATATTTTTGTAAGATATTGATGAATGCAAGGAGGATCCTTGCACCAATAACGGGACATGCATCAACTCGGAGGGAAGTTATCATTGTATTTGTGGTACACGGTGGACGGGAGACAAATGTCAGACAGGTCGGTTGTCATAAGTTTGCAAAAATACAGTTTGTTATATCAGTTGAGGTGCAGAAAATGGCCTAAAATATTTCCAAGAAAAATTTTCATGTTAAGTAGTTGTATGTTATAAAAAAAATTGTATTTAAAGTTGCATTTACATAAATTTTTATAAAAATTAAATTAAGGTAGCAAATATGAAACAGAAGAATTCCAAATTGATACATATATCTTGTCAATTTAATATATATTTTTTAATTTCTTTTTACTTAACTTAAGGAAACTGTTCTGTCCCTGCTTTGATTTAATGACCTTTCATTTTTAAGGGAAGGAAAATAACAATTTTAACAAAGAATACATGTCATTTATAGAAATGAATAGATTTAAGGGTTAATTTTTAGATTAAATTAGCTCTATATTTTATGGCGAAAGCATTTTTGAATTAGTGTTTAAAATTTAAAGGAGAGGTGCCTGTATAAAAGAGCAAGAATAAAGCGATTTTTTAAACCGCTGATACTGCTTATATAAGTATTAATACCTTCATTTTTATAGATGTTAACGAGTGTTCTTTGATTGGATGTAGAAATAATGGAACATGTAGAAACACTGAAGGTTCCTTCCACTGCCAATGTAATAGTTTCTACACGGGAATATACTGCGAAGAAGGTACAGAAGTTTGCAGGTTTTTTTACTCTTTGAATTACCTCTCCTTATATGGTTTGTTTCATTCCTTGAATTATCTTTATTTTAAGATATAAATGAATGCGTAACACAATCTGGAATTTGTAAAAATGGAGGGACTTGTGAAAACATTTGTGGAAGTTACAAATGTCACTGTACTGAAGGGAACTCTGGTAGCAACTGTGATGGAGGTAACACACAGTCACACACTCTCTTTCTCTCCTCTCTCTCTCTCATCTGATTTTTTCCTTCAACTAATTCTTATCATTACTTTTTCTAATATTTGTCGTATTAAAAAAAATATTTATATATGAAGATATTGATGAGTGCAAAGAATGGACTGATCCATGTAAACATGGAGGACAATGTACCAATACCAAGGGTTCATTTTATTGTAACTGTACTTCAAACTGGACCGGAAGTACCTGCGAAGAAGGTAAACAAGTTTTAATTACCGTAATTTATGCCAGATTTTCCTAAGTAAATTATAATAAGTCTATTTAAACTGGAAAGAAATTAGTTGTTTGAAAGAGTTGAGGGTATCAGATATATTTTTTCAGATGTAAACGAATGCAGGTGCTCGCCATGTCAACACAATGGAGTATGCTACAATTATGATGGAGGATTCAATTGCACTTGTGTACCTGGGTATAAAGGAGCACTTTGTGCAATAGGTTCAAAGTCATGCCTTTTAAACGAAATAACCAATATGACATAAATAGTTGTATGCTTTACCACTATGATCAACAACATTTTTGTATAATAGAATAGATAACAGTTTTCTTCAATACCAATCCATTCATTATATATTTATCCATGTGCACAAAACTGTTGGAGTTTTCTGAATGATTTAAAAAGAGTTTATTTCAATCTTTTCTTTCTTTGATATATGAAAAAAAATTAAAACAAATATTTGCTCAATATAATTATTGTGTTTTATTATTTATTTAATTTTTTGAATTCGTTCAAGATGTCAACGAATGCACCGAGTACACAATAGATCCACCATGTAAACATGGCGCCCAGTGCATCAATAACATGGGTTCTTTTTACTGCAACTGTACTTCAAACTGGACCGGAAGTGTTTGCCAAGAAGGTATATTTCTATGCTTATTTTAAAGTTACATATATAATCATATAACATATCAGTGGATCTCTCTCTCTCTCTCTCTCTCTCTCTGTCTCTCTCTCTCATGACATTTGCTCTTTCATAATCTGAGTTTCGTTTCCGTTAATCAAGTGAACAGAATGTGGATCATTTCAATTATATTAAATTAAATTCGATCAATAATAATAAAAAAAAACATATGGATTGATAAATTAACAAAATGAAATGAATTTTTGTTTCAGATATTAATGAATGCCGGAAATTTCCTTGCGAGAACAATGGAACATGCTACAACTTTGATGGAGGATTCAACTGTACTTGTGAGGCAGGGTTTACCGGAGCCCTTTGTGAATTAGGTTAAATATCCTTGCATTTGTTTCTTATTTAAAGTAACCCTACAATAAAACGGGGTATTACAAACAATGTTTATGCCCAAATGTTTCCCTACATATATACAGGAGTAGAAAAATAAAATTTTTGAATACATTTTACATTTATATTGTTCAAACATTTCAGACATCAATGAATGCCTGTCAGACCCTTGTAAAAATCACGGTTTTTGTCAGAACACATTTGGATCATTTTATTGTGATTGCTTAAATAACTGGGATGGAAAATTTTGCGAAATAGGTGAGTAAATTTGTCTTTTTTTAATATGCACTTCCACGATATCTGCAGTACTGTTATTTATGAGGACAAAATTATGTATTTTAGTGAGAGATGATGTAAAAGCAATTATTTATATACATCATTTTATTATCTTTCAACAAAGACTCTCAAAGAATGATTAATTTTCCCTGAGAAAGATAAGTATCACATGTAAAGTGAAAGGGCTAGATGTGAAGGGCTAGATGAAACATACTTAAAGGTGTACTTGTTGATGGTATTCTTAAAAAATCAACACTTTTATTATTAAAAAATCATTTTTTCAGACTTGTGTAAGACGAGGCCAGTTCAGCTAGTATTTGTTGTCGATACATCTTTCAGCACATCAGTAAGAGGATTTCAACAACAAAAAGACTTCATCTCTGATATCGTTTCAAGAATTACTCTTGCAGATGATAAATTCAAGATAGCGGTTGCATCATATGGGACTAAAACAAATATTGACGTAAGGTTCGATTCCTACCAAAACAATAAAACATTACTTTTTGAACAAATATCAAATCTTTCATTCATGAATGGAACAAGTGACATTCACAATGCATCGTACACCGTTAGGGATATCTTAAATGTTACTAAAGGAGGTAACCAGTTTGTTTTATTTTTCACGGACGGAATGCCATCTAATTTACAACTTGCTATAAACGGAACAGGAGAGTTGCGGGCCCGTCTGCTAAACTCAAGTTCCCATAATGCTTTGCTGTTTGTATCGTTTGGTGATGACGTCAGACATGTTGGTTTTAAGAAAATGTCAGGAGATCCGAGATACAAGGATGTGTTCAGTCATATTTCAATGAACCCATTTTATCATCTAGTAAGAAAGTTGATGGACGAAAAATGTACAGGTATTGCTCATACATTTGTTCTTTAAATATAAATGTTGATGTTCATATATAAATTACAGAAGAAGGCATTGATTTAAATAACATATGTGAAAAAACATGTTTGTTAATAAATTATTAAACTGAAATAACCTTGACTCAGTTTTTGGTCTTAGTTTATTCAGATTAATACACAATATTTTTTTTTAATTTTCAGCTTGCTATTACCAAGAGATGGTGGATATTATGTTTGTTCTTGATGTATCTTCAGTTTTACCTCTTAGTACGTTCTCTGGTAGTTTAAGCACAATCTTTTCGATTTTGAAGCGCCTGAAACCATTTGTTGTGCTATCGCCGAACCGTACTCAACTAGGAGCGGTGTACTTCTCAAACGAACCTCATCTGTCAATGCAGCTAAATCAAACAACGGATTTTAATAGTTTTGCTAGTAAACTTATGATCATTTCACAGGACAGTCATGAATTTCAAAATGCCACTTCCAACGTAGCGAAAGCTTTGGAATATGCAAGATCTCATCTCTTATCGCCAGAACATGGTGCGAGAAATTCGTCCAGAAAACTAATCATACATGTCTACACTGGATTTGATTCCAATGCCACAAAGTCTGCAGAAGTGGTAAAATCGCTAACGTATGATCAAACCACTGTTCTTTCAGTAGGAGTTGGAGACCAATACAAAGATGATGATGTTTTAAAGACTGCTTCCAGCTCTTTTCATGCATTTTTTGCTGAATATGATGGAAGGAAAGCTAAATGGGGACTGTCAGAAACAGAATTAGAATTTATTGAAAATATTGACCATTTAACATGTACAGAAAGAATAAATGCTTAATCTATATGTAACATCTAATAAAATACAAGGCAATACTCCTTGCAAAAACTATGTTGTACTAGTATGCATATTGCAGGGATAAAAGTATTTGTATGACAAATTTATTACGTACATTTCTTTAAGATTTTTTTTTTGCTTTGAGAACAAAACAACTGAAGGATGAGATAAAGATTCTTGTCAATATTTTCCCCAGTTGACTTTCTCTCTCTCTCTCTCTCTCTCTCTCTCTCTCTCTCTCTCTCTCTCTCTCTCTCTCTCTTTTTTTTTACTTGGAATGATAAGTTGTGAGATTCACTATGTGAAGATAAAAAATCTCAGATGCTGTGTATCATTGTCTTATTTCTACGGTTTTATGATATATGTTTCACTTACGCTTAAGAATTTTTGTGAAAAAGATTTTGTGATAAGTTTTCACTTAAGGTTAATATGTGTCGAAGATTTTTTTTTTGCTAATAGATCGGCGAATGCACCGATATATGAATGTAAAGTGCGATGATGCCCAAAAGGCCCTGCACTGAACGGGAAGAAGAAGAAGATATTCCCATCTAGACGATATATTTCTCAATTTTCAAAGACCTTTCACTGTAGCTCAGTCGGTAGAGCGCTCGCTTCGTGATCGGGAGGTCGTGAGTTTGAATCTCGGCCATGACTGACCTAAGTCGATAAAAATGGGTAGCAACTGTTCCTTCGCCATGCGCTAGGTACTTTGAAGTGAAAGTTGCGGGTCCTTCGGATGAGACCTTAAAAACCGAGGTCCGGTGTCACGGTAGGCGTTGGTACGATAAAGATCCCTCACTGCTCAATGGCCCAGGGTGCCGATTAAAGGTCAAAATTTGAAGCCCTTCACCTGTATTGTATGACGTCTCCATATGAAAAATTCTTGAATGGGACGTAAAACAATACACAATCAATCAATCAATTAATTTTCATAGTTTAATTAAAATATCAAAAAAGAGTCTTATATATTACCCTGATTAAGAATTTATCAAAACATCACTTACTTTTCACTTCTTTGTCTGTACTTAGAGGTAGCATAGATAAAGTTTTTATTTTTTTTATCGATCTTCAATTTATGGGTACAATGTAATTTACTTTTATTGCTCGATAGAAATCTCAATGTTTACATTTCCAAGGTCTTTGTCCGAGATAAAATTACAAATTGAAATGTACTTTATTTCCCCATCAATGTATTGGCGCGGTTCCAAAAAAACCACGTGCAGGGCGGTACAAACAGCTAGACAGAAGCAGGGCTTGGAGCACGAGGATTGGCGGAATCAAATCATGTAAATACGTTTATGCAAATTATCACGTAAGCCAATCGATTGATCACATCATGAAATGGAAAAATAAGACATTTATTCCTTAAATAAAAACACTGTTTGGTTTTCTGAGTATAACATTCATTTTGAATCAATTTGGTATTCCGAAATAACTCTAAATTAGACATAATATTTGTGTTATTTCCTAACGATATTGTTAGAACTTGACGATTAGTAAGAACATTTTAAAACATGGTTTTGATACATTTGAAAGTTTTAATAAGTCCTTAAGCTGCACCATTGATCTGGGAAATATTTCTTTTTGTCCCCCGCTTGAAAAGTGGGGGATATTAATTTGGGTTTGTCCGTCCGTCCGTCCGTCCGTCTGTCAGTCCGTCCGTCCGTCCGTCCGTCTTTCTGTCTGTCTGTAACGCTTTCGTTTCCACACGATATCTCGAGAACCCTTTGAGCTTTTGTAATGAAATTTAGCATAGCATTTCCCTATGGACTAAAGAAGACCCCTATTGATTTTGAGGTCAAAAGGTCAAAGGTCAAGGTCATAAATAAGCAAATTCTGTCTGTTAAAACACTTTCGTTTCCACACGATATCTCGAGAACCATTTGAGCTATTGCAATGAAATTTTATATAACAACTCCCTGTGGCCTAATGAAGACCCCTATTGATTTTGAGGTCAAAAGGTCAAAGTTCAAGGTCGTAAATTTATACATTCTGTCTGTATGTAATACTATCATTTCCAGGCGATATTTCAAGAAGATTTTGAGCTTATGCAATGTAATTTTATACCAAAACTCCCTAGGACATCTCTCGCCCCTCTCAAAGTGCCCCGCCCCGTTTGTTTTATTAGTATTTATAGTATTACATGGCGCTATTTTTAGCGCAGGGGCATGAGGAGAGTTATTGCGTATAAAACAGGTTCTCGGCGGACTTTATGTTATTATTACATCTATTAGAACTGTTTAATAAAGGCTAAATAAATCAAACACCATGGATTGTGTAAAATTTTGAGAAAACCGAACATGAAAACATGAATATATACATGTATGTGACTTCAGTTCTGCATATACTTCTGTTTGTATAAAGCGACTCCGTGGTCTAGTGGTTATGTCTCTCGCTTTATATGTGATAGGTCCCGCGATCGAATCTCGGTCGAACCTTTCATTTTTTTGTCCCCCGCTTGAAAAGTGGGGGATATTAATTTGGGTTTGTCCGTCCGTCCGTCCGTCTTTCTGTCTGTCTGTAACGCTTTCGTTTCCACACGATATCTCGAGAACCCTTTGAGCTTTTGCAATGAAATTTAGCATAGCAACTCCCTATGGACTAAGGAAGACCCCTATTGATTTTGAGGTCAAAAGGTCAAAGGTCAAGGTCATAAATAAGCAAATTCTGTCTGTTAAAACACTTTCGTTTCCACACGATATCTCGAGAACCATTTGAGCTATTGCAATGAAATTTTACATAACAACTCTCTGTGGCCTAATGAAGACCCCTATTAATTTTGAGGTCAAAAGATCAAAGTTCAAGTCGTAAATTTATACATTCTGTCTGTGTGTAACACTATCATTTCCGGGCGATATTTCAAGAAGATTTTGAGCTTATGCAATGTAATTTTATACCAAAACTCCCTAGGACGTCTCTCGTCCCTCTCAAAGTGCCCCGCCCCGTTTGTTTTATTAGTGTTTATAGTATTACATGTCGCTATTTTTAGCGCAGGGGCATGAGGAGAGTTATTGCGTATAAAACAGGTTCTCGGCGGACTTTATGTTCTTATTGCATCTATTAGAACTGTTTAATAAAGGCTAAATAAATAAAACACCATGGATTGTGTAAAATTTTGAGAATACCGAACATGAAAATATGAATATATACATGTATGTGACTTCAGTTCTGCATATACTTCACACCGAGCAAGGCGATTCCGTGGTCTAGTGGTTATGTCTCTCGCTTCAAATGAGAGAGGTCCCGGGATCGAATCTCGGTTGATCCTTTTTTTTTTCTTTTTTTAAATACTTTTTTTTTTTACTAAATGATAGTATTCAGCATGTGAAATGAAAAATTTATGAGGTTATAAAATCATCATTACAGTGTGATAAATATTCATATAAAAAAATCTTCAGATCTATACACATAATAAAAAATAAGGAATCAAATCTTTATATGCATATTGACATACATGTATTTTATTTGCTTCAGTATACATGTATACATTTAATAATTCTACAAATTCAGTCAGGGGGAGCCGACTTTTTCCCTAAGCGGGGGACACGAATTCTCTGAATTAGCTTGTTTTTAGTGCAACGTAAAATCATTGTGCATGCATATGTAGGCTTACCTGCACGAAGATGTCAACAATCTCGTTTAAAGTCAACATTTTCAAAATTTTCTCATCGATCAGTGAGGTTCTTTGCAAGCATACATGTAATTCACCGCTAATTCGAATGTTGAATGACTTTTTAATGTGCATTGTCAGTCCATTGAAAATACTATACAGGATTTCAGGACGAGCAAGACAGGCATGATTTTTTTTTTTCTTGAATAATTTTACCATGAATATTGTGTGGAGTTTCCTTAGACATTTGTTCTGTTAATTACAATGTAGTTATAAGAATATTTTCATTATTTGCTGCGATTAAAACTAAAGGTACAAATGCTTTAAATTTCTGCTTTAATCGTTTTCTTATACGACGTACAACATTCCCTTTTAAATCACTTTCTGCTATCTGTGTTAAAATGAACTGCATTGTGAAAAAAGGGTATCAAAAGTGTGCAGTCTTCTTACTTAGAACTTCCTATTCTTTTGATCACCCTTATCAGTTATATCGACATAATACGCTAATCTTAAACAAACAAGCCATAACTTGCTCATGTCTGCGGTGGTTTTACTTTCAGTTGCCACCCTGACGATACTGAAATATAAAAAGTATTGTGTAAGCCGTTTATTGCAATTGATCGAAAAGCCATAAAAAAATTTGCTTGAACTTTACTCTTTCCCAGGGAGAGTCTATTTTAAATGGCAAGTGATAAAAGTGTTGTCAACTCCAAGTTTCTATGTTTTTAAAAGAGAGTAGAATGAGAAAGTAGGAAGTCCTGGTATGTTTATTAGTGTTTTTCAGTCACATCGTCTTTAAATGTTGGACGAGACGAAAGCTTTTAAAAGATGGTGGTGTATCTAATGAAGTTCACGTTCCTCTTGTTCATTTTCAAAGCCCGTAAGTTTTTTCCTTCTTTTATAGGATAAAAAAGTATAATTTTTACAATATTTTGAATTTATCATTTTTTCATACATACATTAATGAAAATTTTAAACTGTATTGAAGGATATTTTCAATTGTTAAATTTAAGTAAGTTACCGTCTTGCAAATATTCGGTCGTAAACTTTTTGAAATATTGACAATCCATTCTTATCTCATACTATTTCATTTTTCATATGATCAATTTTGTCTTCAGGACATACGCAAGGTACCTTATCTACTGAAAAATTTTCAAGATATTCTTAATTTAAGATTAAAGTGCTATCAAATGTTCATAGATAAAAATCAGCATACATTACCAGGAGTTTTTGGAAGATATCAAATTATGAAAAAAATTGTATTATTCAAAGAAAAATGTACAAAAATTATGAAACAGAAATTCCGGATTTTTCCATCAAAATTTTTTTTAGAAGAGATGTACAATTCCATATATAAACATTAAAAGTATTGCACACAGGTCCTTCGTTTAGTGGAACTCTTCAACTCCAGGGAAGAGCCGAATAAATTTC